ATTTACAAGCGTAAAGCAATACTCTGAGCTATTTACAGTGAGCTTAGCTCATTAAAGTAGGAATACCTTGTCTATAACATTCTTTAAATAATTCAAGAGTAATTGAATAGTATAAGAATATTTTGAAATGGTTCAATTGACAAGCCAAGATGCAGGATCTTGCATTTGCTTGTCACTACCAATGTCAAATTTGTCCATTTTTGGCCATAAATAAGGTTATAAATACCACTATTCCCTGTATTTGCAACTCTTGAAAAATAAATTATCACCCCTCCCCAATGATAAAAAAAAAAAAAACATCATAGCTTGCTGGAGACTAGTCTTAAAATATTTTCCAATTGTCTTGTCAAAAAGGCTCATAGTTTCACTTGCTTTCAACAATTATTACCAAAAAAAACTATATTTCCAGTGTTAATGATTTGGTATTTTAAACATGACAAATTTTATAATCTGGGAATTTTAGATGAAAATGTATCATGGTGAAAAAAATACATATTTTCAGAACTACTTGTGTTTTAAAGTAATATGAATCAAAACCTCATGCTCCTTACTCAGAGGATTTATTCTTACAACACCAAGAGAAAAAATTGCATTTTCGCAATGAAACTACTCAAATTTTTTACAGCTTTTCATTCTAAGGTTGTACTCCTCCTCGAGGTTGAAAGCTGACATAGCAATGCCCATCTGACCAGCATAATATGTTGTCATGATCAAGGCTCTTGCCCCAGGAACAGGAAAACAAAACTTGTTGATGGCGATGATATTGTCTGAGAGGTAAAACAAGGCAGCACCAAAGCATGCACTCATCTTTGTCCAGCGACACAATCCATTCTCTTCGATTTGGTTTTGGACACCAGTTATGGCCTGCCACATCATACCAGTGACCACAAAGCCATATATAAGGACAGGAATAACCAGCTTTGCTTCGAGTCCAGGGTACAATATGTAGTACACCAACAAACCTGGTAAGACACAGATTGATCCTACAAGGGGGTTTCTTGGTTGGAACCCAAAGGCTCTAATATACAAAATGTGAGCAATACCAAAAGCAGCCATGCCGTGAATGAAGTAAGTGTTTTTCCATACAAGAAAAACGTCACCAATGGCTGAAAAGATGAGACCCAGAAGAATTCTCCTGCTGTAGTTGTGTTCTCTCTCAAGACTTATTCCTTGCAGGCTGACAAATACACATAAACTCAGAATTGGCAGAATTTTAAGGAGAGCAGCAAATACAGTTGGTTTCTCTGTCTCTGGAAGCCATGCCACAAAATAAACACAAACAGTTTTTAGGAATGGCACAAGTTTGGGTCCAACACTTTTAACCTACAAGAAGACAAAATTCACACTGATTATTATGAGAGATAAGGCTCTTTTTATTAGACAACCAAAATTAATTTTGTACATGTTGTACAAATTTTAGCATCATAAATTTCTTAGGGTAGGGGATTGTAGCTCACTTGCTTTACAAAGAGCATAACCCTCTCACTTTGAAAACAAAATAACAAACAAAATAACAAATAAAAACTGAAAGAAAAGAAAAAAGACCATACTGGCTTCAGCTTCTTTCCATGTTCAAGACCCCCCCCCCCCCCCCCCATGATATACGGCATTAAAACATTAGAGTTTATGTTCATGGACATAGATCACTTTTGAACCCAACTCTGATTCATTTTAGTGTGAGCCCAAAGCTAAGGTTAAAATGACACTAAGAAGGGCACAAAAGATATTTATGCCCATAGAGAATACACTGTAGCACTCTTATTATCAGTTTGAAAGGAATTGAGAATAAAAAGCTGGAAAAAGTGACAATGAAACGGTCTGAACTAACGCCACAGTGCCCGACAATTTTGATAACAATATTGTGATCTTTAACACCTAGTTAAGTCTAATATCAAGTGCTCAAATCTCTCTCCAAACAAAACATTCATTTTAAACCCTACTGAAAAAAATAAAGCAGAAGCATGATGTGCCCCATAGAAATTGTTTGAATCATTTTACTTCAAGGCTCAAATGTTCCTATAAATGGATGACGCAATGACATTGCATTCTTGATAACCTTGAGTGACATTGCGGTGACATAACAGCACGTACGCCCCTGCCAAACCCCCTACTTGCCCACGCTCTATTGGTTAATTTTTCCATGCAGAGTACATGTAGTTCGAGAGGAACTTGTAAAAACTACACTTCCAAAATCAAACTTCCCTATTGCGTAAGTCCAGTACTTTGAAAAAACAAACGACACAAAAATTAATTTTCATGAAACACTCTCGAAAGTTAAAAGATTTGAAAAAGAAATGAAACGTTAATGAATTCGAAAGATCCAGATTTCTTAAATGTATCTAAATTCATCTAGTAGGAACCATTCAGTAGTAACTACATTCTTTAATAATGATTAGATTAAATACGAAGATTTCGTAACAAGATTTAAACGAACTCGCTTTCGGATTTTATAGAGGAGTTTGGGGTTATCGCATACCGCATATATATGAGAACGAAAATTACTCGATTCAAATTTAATAACACTCACTTTTACATACTTCTGCAGTGGGGTATTTTTTAAGAAAGTATTGACTCAGTGTTAAGCTGATAAAAGACGTATTCCTGAACAACAGAATCCAAGCGACTGCGCTGAATTCAGTAAAAAAATGACCAGGTGAGAGCGAATAATGCTCTCGTGATATTTACCACTGATTTGTTTGCGGAAAAACTGGTCAAAGTAAGACTGCGAAAGAGATGAACACAAGCACTAATCAAGATATCAAATCGACAAAGTTAAATGAAGATTAAAATAGGTTGCTTTTTTTCTCCAGAGATAAGTACAGAATGAGGCGAAATGATTCCGTCACAGAAGCAAATTTGTAAACAAAGTAGAGCCATGTGCAATATCGATCGCGATTTCGCGAACTGCTTTGTTTTTGTTCGAAACCATCCCACGAAAAAAACGCTTTTAACTTACCACTTCAGACTTATCCAGTTTGTACTGTAATACATACGAGTCTGCTCGAACAGAGCAGTTTCTTTCGTTCTTGGTCATCGTAAGTGTCTTGCTTTTTGTGTGTGCTGAAAACGTCAACTACCTAAGAAGTCCTTCTGTCTGCGCGAGACTTGATATAGAACACGAACAAAAGGAACGTAATAAATTCAGACGTCATTGATCTTGCCAATGCGTATGAGTTACGTCAAACAACGCAATTACTCCGCGATTTATACATCTATTGAGTCCAGCGGAGTGACTTTTAACTACTCCATGACATGTTTTTATATGCAAATTTTTTTAATAGAGCAAAACAGGATGTACATAGAACTGGGTTTGCAAATTATTTTATCAAAAAGCCGTTCGGAAAAATTAACCTTGAAACCTGGTTACTTCTGCCACAACTTATGCGTCACACCGAGTTGCCACCTTTCTGACAAAAGAAACCGCGAAAATGCAATTCTCCGCAGTAAAGAAAAGGTATCTTAGTGAGGTGAAGTTTCAGATACGAATTTACTTCAGTTCACCTCTTGACCTTTTGACGTTACAAATTTGACAAAAATAACCCAGATCGAAAGTTACCTTTTCTTAAAAGCGTTCATCATATATTCCGGGATTATCTCGGGCAAGATTTTCGCACAACCCCACACTACATTATGCATTCAGTTCTTAGATAAAGAAAATAGTAGCAAAAACAATAGATTGCTTTCGTAACTACGGGTTTGCTTTAGTATGTTTTGTATATCATGGCTATGGGCGATGGGGGTGGGCGGAAATCAGATATTATTTCGCTTCACGAAATGAAAGAGGCGCAGCATGGGGAGAGGGGAGGGAAGGGGAAAGGAAGCGTGAAAAGAAATAATGGAACTATTTGGTTGAACTCATGCAACGGACTTCGCGGAAAGAGGATTGTTTTAGGCCTACCCTCCATAAAACATGATCAACCGTTTGCTACTGTGGCTAAAGTTGTAGTTTTTCTTTCTTTGTAATTTAATGGCAAATTGAATATCTTTTTACATCAAGTAATGTTTACAGGACGAAAAATTGTCTATTTGTGATGTTTTCTTTCTTATTTGGGGAGTTTCTTTTCCACTTCTCCATGCATTTGCAAGTCCTACGGTACATAATAAAAAGTCATGTCTCTGTTGTGGTTATGTGTCCACAGTGTCTTACCTAAAGGCAAAAAGAAAGTTGAAAAAGAGCTTCTTCTAGCCTGGATCATTGGAGGTCTTGATAAAATTACCAGTTCTACCAAAAATAACTGTAGGGAATTAACATTACTTAGCAACTGTCCATAACTGAAATGTGCTACAAGGAAAGAGTTGACTGTATGTTTAAATTATAATAGCCCCATGTAAGAGCATAGCACTGACGAAAAGAGCTGAAACTAAAAATGTCAGTTTGAACAAAATTTTCCTCTGTAGTGTGTGATGAATTATAAAAAAAAATTATGGTAGGCATGAAAAATTTGCATCAAGATAGTTAATTGGAATCTATGATAATATTTACACAGTCAGTGAGCCTTCTTTGTCCTGTTCAGTTTTTTCTTGCCTCTCAGGTTTTTGTTTACTCTTGCAAATTTATATTATTTGAAATAGTTTCTTTCTATCAACCAAAAAAAAAAAACGAACTAGTAGGGCATGAAATTGTGCCTAATACAGGTGCCAATGCAACTAAATTTTTCACTTTGGCGACCAAATCCTAAAACTAAGTCACAAATTGGCGACTAGAATGTTTCATCATAACCTTACGAAAGAGATAGATTGAATGAAAATGATTTGCAAAGATAAATCTGCAGCAAACTTCCTCGTTAAGTTTGTTTCCAAAGTGCAGCACATGCATCTCAATCGATAACTAGACGCCATATTGGATTTAGGTGAGCTTGAAAGTTGTACATCTCCCATCCTAGTGTCCACTTTGTAGCACGTTAAAGATCTTCTTCCTAACTTAATTTTGGAGGGTCTATCTAGAACACTGACAGTGTAAAAAAAGGTTTAGTTTGTCTTTGCAAATGGTGACCAACTTTTTTTTGAATTGGCTACCACTTTGAAGAATTTAGGAGCCAAGTGGCTACCAGAAAAAAAAAATTATTTCACACCCTGACTAGCCTTAGAAAAAACCCCAAACTATGGAGACAAAGCTCTTTTTTTCTTTTAAAATACAGAAGAACCCTGCTAACTCAAACCCCCCCCAAGGAAATGAAAAATGAATTGAGTTATTGGGGTTTTTGAGTTAACGGATTGTAAATGACTAAAAAAATTAGGTCAAAGGAAATTGGATCTTGCTTGAGTTACAGGGGAGTTAAGTGAACTAGGTTTTAGTAAGCTGGGTTCAACTGTACCTTGACTTTCTTTCATGACTGCATAAACTTCCTTCAAAGGAACCTAGGCTAAAAACCTACTCCTTGGTTTTATGTAATTTAACCTGGCTAGTGGTAAAACAAGACAGAGCAATGCCCAACTGTGCACTGTAGTATGTCACCATAACAATAGCTCAAGCATAAGGGATTGGAAAAATACCACTTGTTATATACCTAGACTTTCACTCAACAAAACGAGCACTGTAATTGGTTGATTCTTGGTCACATGCCCCTAGTCAGATTCAAATGTATCCCAACTGGGATACAATTGTGCAGTTGTTGCCCACTCGCCAAATACAACTGCACACAACTGTTTAAGGGAAAGTCTAAATATATAACAAAGAACTTAAAGTATGGTCCCTTGGGAAACTAATTACTTTTGTTTTCCCAAGAGTCCTGATTTTTCCCAAGATAAAGTCAAGGAAACATTGAACAGGACTCTTGAGAAGACAAAACTAACTGTTTCCCTAGGGATCATACACTAAGTGTATATTTTTTAGCTAAGCTAAAAACCTACTTTAAACCTAAGCTTAAAACCTATTCCTTGGTTTTATGCAATTTAACCTGACTAGTGGTGAAACAAGACAGAGCAAAGCCTAACTGTGCACTATAGTATGTCACCATAACAATAACTCGAGCATAAGGGATTGGAAAATACCACTTGTTTACACCAAGAATAAAATCTGAAAAACCAAATGAAATAGCTCCAATGCATGCACAAAGTTTGGTCCACTGCCAAGCTTGGCTATGTAAAGAAACCTGAAGACCTGTGATTGCTCTCCAGATCATAACAGATATCATCAGCATGTATCCAGCAACTGTTCCCATGAGGGAGCCATTGAGGTTTGGAAAGTACAAGGAATAAGTGTTTAGAGTTAGGATCAAAAGACCCACTAAAACTAATGGATTAACTGGTGTGAAACCGAATGCTGAAGCATAGCACAGATGGGCGATACCAAAAGAGATCACACCAAAATGGAAATGGCTATGTTCCCAAACTATAAATATATCACCAAACATCGAGAAGATAAGGCCAAGAAGTATGTGGCTGTTATAGTCATGGGGGTTCACTCCTTGCATGATGACAAAGCCACACAGGCTTATGATGGGTAAGATCTTTATTGCAGCTGCCAGTATTGAAGGATTCTTGGCTTCTGGCAGCCATAGTATGAAGTAGATGCAAAATGTCTTGAAAAATGGGAGGAGTTTGGGGACTGCCTGTTTGAGCTGTCAAAAAAAACATGCAATAGATCAAACTCTGCATTCTCAACAAAGTTCATAAGTAAACTTGATTCATGTTCATAATAGGATCTTTCCTTATTATTCTTTTTTTCACTTTATCATATTTTCATAATTCTTGGCATACTGATTGCAATGAACATGGTTATTTATATGATAAGCTGAATCCTACATGCATTTTGATTGGTTGTTATTTATGATCAGTAGAGGAAAATTACATGGATGACCTGACCATTAAAAAACTTTTGTGTTAACATATAAAACAAGTAGATTCCATGCTGCCATGGGTCTGGACAGTAATACATTGCAGAAGGCATCAAAATGTGGTTAGAACATCTGTGACAAACTGGGCTGAACCACTTTTTTGTTCTTACCACTTTTTTGACATTATCTGTGATCCATTAACCATTTAACCCCTAAGAGTGATTGACAACTTTTTTTTTCCAGGGTGTATCACCCTTGAATCAAAAATCGAAGTCACAAGAATAAAGGAATTGATCACTTAATAAAGAAGCTCTTGATTGTTGAACAAATTCACCTTGACAGCCACTTAGGAAATGTATGGTGAACATTATAGAGAATATGCTAATTAATGTTTGGGTGTAAGGAGTTAATGAACAGACACACGGCTATGAGGAATCTATTTGATAAATTGATCCATCAAAAAAATCTTAATAAGTGAGGTCATCACTGAATCAGAAAATGTCTGTAAAACCCCCCAAAAAATGTAACCAAACTGGCCCAAGACAACTTCCGGTCACAAACTGAACATCTGCATGTAAAACTCTCAAAAGCAGAGGTAGATCTTGCTTTTTCAAATCTGTTTTTATCACTTACCACATCGACAGGTTTAAGTTCATAGTCTAAGGAACATGATCTCACAAAACTGTTTGTAGAGAAGTCCATTTCCGTCACGACTCAAACGAGGAAGTAAGATACGTGACGCAAAATGACCACTCAAAAGCTATCAATTAGCTTGATGGAGGTCTGTTAGACACGACGGCACCCTCGCACGAAAATTGTAATCAAAATATTGACAAATAATCTCGAAGTACCTAATAGATACCTCTCGTCTTGTTGTGCACGTTAGTCAAGACCTGGCTGCTCAGCAATTAGTTGAGCCTGCATGTTTGGTCAGTTCACCCATTCTAATCTAAGATGGCGGATGAAAGCGAAGACTTCGAGGAACAAGTTTCAGACGCTCAGCCAAAAATGGAATGCGAAGGTCAGTCTTTGAAAGATGATTTTTTATCAATTTCCACTTATTTTTATCACGTGTGCAAAGCAAAGCATAAAGGATTCAAAGTTTTTATACAGTATGATGATGAGGATAAACATACCGTGTCCCCACGTGTGTGCGCATATTATTTACATGTACGGTTTGGTAAATAACAGCGAAAGTGAACTAAGATTTTGAGTCTGTTCTACATGGGTAGTCCTCATGTTCCGTTTCAAATCCCCAACATTCAATCACAACTTGAAAACCTGAATGTACGGAGTAACAGCCCAGCTTCAAAAGATTATGCTGAGGAAATCTATTTTTATCAGCTACACGGTTGTTGGACCCCAACAAAGAACAATTTATCGAAAAAGGTTAAGGGGAAAAACTACCTCCATAACAATATTTTTAAGGCATTGAAAGCCCTCATTTCAATTATCGTAGGATATTCTGCTCCGCTAAAACTTTGAATTAAATAAATGTGCGGAAAACATGATATTAGATTGATTAAATGAGATTGAAAAAATATTTCCAAATTTAGGTGGAGGTAGTGAGGAAGAAGTAAATCAAGGATGGGCAGATGCTATGGCAAGAATTCTTGAAAATCAGCTACCGGAGGACAAGGTATCTGACAAAAGAAAAACTTCAGTCACCATTCCTGCTGACATTGTGTGAATTATACAACAACTAACAAGCTTCAAACTATAAGCCCAAGAAACAATGTCACTGTCAGTTACAATCAAAGCGACTTACTGTTTATGCTTTAAATTTGAATCATCTCAAATGACAAATATTTTTTTTAAGCATAACACACCAGTCTGCATCTTTAAATAGAAGACTCATTATGAGTAACTGATGGACATACTCATAGTCTGATGGGATACGAGTATCCTTGTGAAACGCATTTATGGAAATTAATAGTTATTACACAGTTTTATATTATGCATTCTCAATGGATATACTTGAAGGATATTGTTTCAGATCTTTTTTCATTGGGAATAACATGGACTAAAAGACTTTCAAGGTATAACTGTCAAATTTTTTATTTATTCTCTCTTTCCTTTACATTTGTAGCCACCTGTGTTATTGAAATACAAGAAAATTGAAAAGAGAAAAGCAGAGAGAAATGAACAATTAGCCTCCAAGAAGGTAAAGAGTAGTTTTTTGAAAGGTCACAAATTTTCCAAGTATAGAAGAGCTTTAAAAATGTCATCTTCTACTGCGTCTTACATCCATCAGGGCTAAATTCTCTTTGACTCACTATTTCACTGATGTTGCTGTTGTTTTCGTCTAATAAGCTGAAAAGTCAAGAACGGCATGCTATGCTTGAGAAAGACCATATTAAACCTGATGCCTCAACACTGGATTATGAAAAGAACTTAATGAGAATTGCAACAAGAGGAGGTAACTGTTATTGTTGCCTGATTTTATTGGTATTTATTCTAGTTTCATAATTTTATTTGTAGTTATCTCTCTCTGCTTTTAGAAATGCTATATGCAGCTTGTTTTTGTTTTTGCATGTTTAAATTCCTTCCAACTGTTTGTCTGCTCATCTGTCCATTTTTAAATTGTTCATTTGTCATACTCTACTTTAGTTTAGTTTGCCTTTAAAAAAATACAAATGCTACTTAGGTAAAAGAAAATGAGATACACATAGAATACAATACAGGCCCTTGATGCTCTAAAGCTGTGTAATGCCATCCAAGCTTGTGGCCCATTTTGTCTATTGTTACAGTCAAAGCTAGAAAATCTGAAGTGTGTCTGGAGTGCAGATTGTGCAAAGGCCTCTCATGATAAAGATATGTACATGTGTAAGAATGAAAAAACCAGAAACAAAATAGCATCACCCCCTCTGAGTGGTTTGTTTGTCTTGCACAGATACATTTTAGAAATATTTCAGGTACTGAGTTCACAGAGTTTTGTAACATCTGGGATTATATAAAGTGGTCTGAATTTTCCTCTTTCTTTTCAACAACCTGTCAAAAACCAAACAACAGTAATAATATGTTATACAAGTTTTCCAGCAGAGTGCAATTTGCAGGAAAAAAACACAGCAAACTTAGTTTAAAATAGTTTTGAAGTCAGATTCATTTTGAAACAGGTTTTTGAAGACTCATAAGAATCTCTCCTGAACTTTTGATCTCCATCTCATTTTAGTGGTCAAACTGTTCAATGCTGTCAGTAAACATCAGAAGGAGATGAACAGTAAACTAAACTCTGCTCCTACTGAAGCCAAGAAAACAAAAGGTGAGAGCCTCAGCAAACGAGAATAATTGTCATGTAGAGTGCAGATGATTTTATTGTCAAGAGGGTAAAGCTTGTTTGGTATGCCTCTTTTCTTCAAGAGTACTGCATCATAAAAACTTATGCTAAGCTTTTTTCTATTTTCAAATTTGTTTTTGCATAATATATTTGTGGAATTGATGATTTTATTCTTAGGAGGGTACAGCTTGTTTGCTATGCCTCCTTTCTTCAAAAGTGCTGTATCATAATAACTTATGCTAAGGTTTTTTTTTTTTTTTTTTGGACCCAATGTTTTTCTATATACTAGTGGAAACGATGTCCAAATCTACCTTTCTTGACATGCTGAAAAGCAGCTCTGACAAGGGACAGACTCAAGAGAATAAAGAACAGAAAGGAACGGTAACTGCTGTCTGATTTCCTTGACCTTTTACACCTTAACATCAGTGGGTATATTCTCCACACTGCTTCCTATACATTTCCTCAGGCGCTGACAAGGAGAATTCGTTTAACAATCAAGAGCTTTTTTTATTTGGTGATCATCTCCTTTATTCTTGTTACCTTAATGTTTCGTTCAGGGCTGATATTTTTAGGAGAAATTAGATGCTTGTCACTCTTTAGAGGTTAAAGGGTTAAATGTTATGTCAAATCTGCTTTGAAGTGAAGCGTAAGCAGCGAAAAAGGTTTGAAAACACACACACATGGGACTTCAAAGTCCACTTTTTTTGTCTCTTCAATTCCGGACAATGTGTATTTGAAAATATACCGATCCTCTTTTACTTTGGTGTTTCAGGGAATCGAGCTCACTGATACCGACGATGCGTCATCGTGGAGCATTCTACGGGATGACTTTATGATGGGCGCTAAGATGAAAGACTGGAACCGAGAAGAACAAAAAACCAAGAGGAAAGATAAAAAACTAACAGACATTACTGATCATGAACTGGAAACAAGTAACGCTGACTTCTTTGATGAATCAGATGATGGGAACAACGAGCAGTCGGATTCAGAGTCAGATATGGATTCGCAAGGAGGCTAGAGCGTGACAAAGCGTGACAAAGCGTGACAAAAAGTTCCTCAATATCGCGCTTTTTTGACAATTTCGTTACTTCGAATCACACTGTCCTGTGACGCAAGGTGATGCTTTGCGGAGAATGCTGTCAATAATACCAGTTTGCAGTTTTAAAAAAAAATTCAATCGACATTGAAGTGGGAGATGGAAGTCTTCTAAAATGGACGCAAAAGTCCGGTCCTAAAGGCACCCAGAAGAGGGTTGACTGCCTCCTTAAAGGAACTCTGCAAAGAGCGCAGTTTCAAATGTATCTGCTCCGCGCAGACAAACTAAAATCGAATTAATCCCTTGTAACCTTTGCCGTGCTTTTATTGGTTTTCTCTTGGATGTTTTAATGTAGAGGCAACGCGTGAAAGCTAAACGGTCAAATTTTTTTGGCATAAGTAAGGCCTCGTGTATCCCTATCAAACGGTTCCACCCTAAATATAAATGTTCTTACATGCGTATTGCCTCTTTTGCTGTTGTTTATTTCGATTGTTTATGATCACCAGACAAAGCGAATGCTTGATCTATTTCCAACTGCTTTCCTTTCTTTTATAGTATTGTGAAAGCAGTCGGTATATTTGGGGGGGGGGGGGGGGGGGGAAGAATAAATGGCAATCATACGATTCTTCGATTTTTGGCATCCGACCGCGACTTATAATTTAAGAGGGGGCTAATCTGTCTCCGGTTTACACAACGCCTGAACGAATGATTTAGCAGCTTGGAATTCCCTTTCAAGCTCAAAAACGGGATGTAAACCAAGGATGCAGCTTTCACAACAAGTGATCAATTATGCCTACTAATTATGCGTGCCGATGTCCGATCTTTCTGATGTTCAGACAACTTATAAACTGAAGTTGTGTCATCTCTGATTCTTTACGTTGTCGTGATGGGAGCTTATTGTTTTGCGTCGGTATTGCGTTTTGTTGTCTCGGACATTTTTGCTACGTTGTCATAGAAAAAATATATATATATGATAGGTATTCATTAGCATATAAAACTACTCTCTGGCCTTCTGCCCGGCAGCCGAACAATTTTCAAAGAATTTCCACTGCAAAGTTATTTCAAACTTGTTGAAAGTATCAGTTGTCGCTTAGAAATTTCAAGCAAAATGGAAAATTATATGCGAAAGCCATATGGCAATGAGTTATGTTAAATGATTCTTAGTTGGCTTTTTCCTTTTACTTTTTGTGTCTTTTCATGACAACCTCACTGCAATTAGATTTCTGTATAACAAGGAGCAAAATTATAATTCCAAAAATAGGAAAAATCGGAAGTAACCAAGTCGGGATACTAAGTAATAGAGGACTTTTTCTTTTTAACATGGCCTCATCTAAAGACGAGGAAAGTTCAAGTGGAAAAATTTGGTAAATTCGAGACATTAATCAGTAAACCCGAAACGCAGTTGAGATTTCGCATAACTTTTGCGAATTCTCCCAATCCCCCGAGTGTTTAGATAAGGCTATAAAAACACGGATCTCCTAAGTCCTTTACGATTGCTTTTGTAAAATATTATCTCAAAAACACGCGCCTTTCAAAAATGTCACAACTGTGTTTACTTACTCTCAGCTAGAGGTACCTATTTACCAATGAGAGCGCTCGTAATCTTGCATCTGATTAGTTGAGACAGAGGCGCGAATTTTCTGAACCTATCACAGAGCAGAGTAAAGTGCAACCAATGCAGCCCAGCACTACGTTCGATAGCACAGAAATCTAAGTTTGAAAAAAACAACAAAAACAAAAAAAAAACAAATACAGCGACAAATCGAAAATTATTAAATCGCCTTAGGCAAATATTTTGTTTTTACGGAAAATGTAGGCACCTCTCTTCGAACTCGCCATCTGGTTAACTTGTTGTTATTCGTCTCGTTATGTTTTTAATAAAAAGGGCTCAAAATTCATCTTTAATTAACTGCAAGGTGTAATAAAAAGACACGTGTAATATCATAATTGTTACGTCCTTTTTTTACATGTAATGTTTATGTAAGCCAAAGCTTATTTTCTTTCAAGAATTACAGCATCGTGTTATAGCAGAAAATGTTAAAAGGAATATATATGTATAGCCCTGCATTATTCCGCGCATATTTGATTCACTCCACAACTGACTTCTATTTAACTGTCAGGTGATTAATTTCTCGCACTGTAAACAAAAGAATTCCATTTTCTCCGTCATGATGATCTGTTAAAATTCAGCATCACTGAAATAGATTTTTGCCAAATATTTAAAACCCAGTCTTAAAAAGATTCATTGCAACAACATTGTTTGGAGGGCGTGCAAAAGGTTCGTGAGCAAAATTTTCGCGGACAAAACTGTCGCTTAACAGAAACCAGTAGTGTCGCTGTTGTGTTCAAGTCATCTCCGACAAGGATTGTTAATTAGCTCCTTAAGCAAACTATTTGTCATTAGAGTGTCTGCTAAAAACATTAGCGGCATAAAAGGGAGATGGACTCGTCAAAATATTTGCACGCAGCAATTGTAAATTTTCCTTATACTAACAATGTCATTTGCGTTTAATAAGTCGCTAAACTGCGAACGCGATGAATTGTTCGGAGAAGATCATCAACTGGGGTTTTAGCCGATACGTAAACGCCCCAAAAAAGATTTTCGCCGGATGACGGCGAAATCGAAACCTCGAGGTATCAAATGATATATTACGCGGGCGACTGACACGAATTTGGGAGCGTGGAAACACTAAATGAAATAATGAACTTGTCATTCGAAGAACAAAGGAGGGCGACCCAGTTCTAGTTGGATTTCGATTAACGCAACATAATAATTGACAGTCGAGCTAATGGGCAGGAAATGAGAATATATAGTGATCTCTGATCATGTTATATCGTATTAGACACTTTCCCGGCCTCAGAACAGCTTAGCAAAGTGAATGCGTGCAAGGCCGTGTTGGATTTGACGCAGATATCTAATTAAGCCCAGTCTACGCGAGCGAGCGGAGAATTTCTGAGAAGAGTTATGGGTAAGCGATTTATTGGAGCACTTCGTTCTGTTTGAAAATATTTGGTCGATTTGGCGACCTCTGTATGTTTGCCGCCATACGCTATCAGATCTTGGTAAAAGAGCGCTGGTAAACACAGCGCCAATAACGGAAAGTCTTGGAAGATTTATATCTAACAATGGCTACTGTATTACCCACTATCGGCTCCAGAGGGACGGCTGTGAGGCTTCAAACTGGTGTGTCCTGTCTCGATTTTATTCAAAACATTTACGCTTAGCTTTAGCGTTGAGGAACCTCGCGCTGGCTGAAAATAGCGTAATTGTAGTTGCAGCGGCAGCGTTTAAGTTACTTTCTCGCTAAGGATAGTACTTCAATTAATGAATCGTCCCGATTGTTTAAGAAGATTGAAGGTTCAAAATTTCTTCAATTTTATACCATATTCAGTTAGCGATTAGTAATACGCGAAAGCGCAGTTTTCTTCGGCAAAATTTTCGCCAAAGTATTCTCGGTAATAATTACGAGAAAATTTTTATTTTCCGTTCTCTCAGCCAAGAACACTCTTATTTAGCGATAAAATGTCGAGTTGTTTCCCTGATTTCCATTATCATTTTTCTCTAGCCACAGAAAAATTTGATTTTCACAAAGAGCCCCCAAACAAGCGATTATGCGGAGGTTGTGGATGCCTCATTAATGATCGGTTCCTCCTCAAAGCTCTCGATCGCTACTGGCATGAAGACTGCTTGAAATGTGGTTGTTGCGAGTGTCGGCTTGGCGAAGTGGGATCCACATTGTACACGAAAGCAAATTTAATCCTATGTAGAAGGGATTATTTGAGGTGAGTATTTACATCAAATGCTCTTTTAAAATTTACTGTTTATTTTAGTGATTTGGAATTCTATGGTCTCGTTTGCAGACTTCTTCCATCAAACTAAAATTTCGTCTCCAATTTGTTTGGTTAAAATGATGACAGTTGACACGAAAGTTCCAGTAGAGAATATTGCCTTCAAATGGGCGCATCTATTTGGGAATTCATCACAAGAAATAGTTTTTCTTCAGAAGTATTTAATGGGATTGAGCAGATTACTTTGTTTTTCTAAGATTAAAAACACTCCGTTTTCTCTTTAGCTCGACACATTAAAGAGCAACTTTTTCACATTATTAAATATACTTCACTTGTGCTTGTCAAGAAATATGATCACACATTTCAATACTTCCGTCGATTGCTGTCAGTCCTCTTCAAAATATTGCCTAGCCTTTTAGCGGTGAACTCTAATGTACATCAATTAGTAAATATTCCATTAAGAGTGCTTTTAGTAACGGCGGAAAACACAGCGATCAGTCTAAAGTGCCTTGTTTGCAGTCATGTTTTAATGAGTTGAAAACGTTTTTTCCGGCAGTCAGTCAGTGAGTTGACCTCTCGTATCTCCGGATTTGATTTTTCATCCACTTGGCTCGGATAAAAAGATTACTAACTGTTTATACTGTCTCTTTTAGGTTGTTCGGAACAAAAGGTTTTTGTACAGTGTGCTGTAAAACTATCCCTGCCTTCGAGATGGTGATGCGTGCGCGAGAAAACGTGTATCACTTGGAGTGTTTTTCTTGCCAAAGATGCCATCAGAGGTTTTGTGTCGGGGACAAATTCTACTTAATTAACAACAGAATTCTGTGCGTTGATGACTACGAAGAGATGATGGCCTATGGGAAACAAGATACCAAAAGATTTATTGTCTAGTCCTGGGAAAAAGTGATCTTATTCATCATTCTTGTGGAAAACGCCTTCGTGATAGCACCTCGCTACACCTCATTTTTCGAATTGTGCGCGCACTGTTCTTCATTTCACCACTTTTCGGGGTTAATGTGATTTTTTTAATGACCTTCGTTTGGCTGCTGAAAATTATAAAATCAGTCCTGGAGCCTCTTTCTGTTCGTTTCCATTCAGATTTTAATAGCTCTTGTCGTTTAATGGTTCTCTAGTGGTTTGTTTTATAATAATTCATTTTCATTTTCCTTTTATTTTTTTTAACTATGGCTTCTCAGCAGTTTACTGGTCTGTCGTGCGGTCCACATGATCAATTCCACGCGCTTTTAATTAACGATCAGTCTGGGCGCATCAACAAAATAAAATTCGTGCTTTATAGATATTTTAATTAACCCCCGGATAGTGACTTTTGGTATCAAATTTGACAAGCATATGGGAAGGCTACTTTCCTTCATTCCTGGAGTCTTGTCGGAAGCTAGAAAAGATAATCTTTAGCGGATAGAGTATTTTGAAGGGGAGGCCTCTGGTCCTTGAATTTTAACAACGACTAAGAACGCAACACTCGCAATGGACAATCTGGAAACTATAACTCGGAGCAAGGGTACATCTCGCAGATGTCTGTAACTATAGACGGTAAAAAGGCAGATTTGCCTGTGAAATACAACAACGACACTAACAAGACAACAGCACAAGATTTTAGGGAATTAATAAAACATTCCAAGAATTTTATGAATAAGCTTAATTTGTGCGAACATAAACCTCTTCCGTTGCTTATTCTCATACCAAACCTTTTAGGACCTTTTCAAACTTTGCGACTGAATGCCAGCATAATGAGTGGTTTATGTCGGGAATATTGTGCGTGACTCAATAATAGTGAAAATGGTTTGAATTAGCTTAATGGATTGCATTGAAGATTTTCTATAATCACGGCTGGCTTGCACCAAGTGAGAAAGATGATTGCGTAAATGGAGTGCCACTAAGACGGATATTGGCGGAAGAGCACTCACTTAACACGACGTGAATTTGTTTGTGGAATGCGATTATCTAAAACAACTCTCACTTTGCACGAGATTCAACATGAAAGCTCGTGTACAATGAAACATACGTTACAAATATTTCATAACAATTTAAGCTCAATGGCAAACATCATGGAACGATAGTCCTACAGAAAATAAAGCTGAGATAACTATTAACGATCGATCAATCTAATTTGACAAGCTAATTGAAGTATAAAGTGCTTGTCTGCTGCCAAAAAGAAAATTGCTTAGATCTTTTTGAAACAAAAGTAGAGTATCTTTTTACCAGAGGGATGTCCGGAATTTTTTGCGGCGCGAGAATATTTCAAAAACAAATTACTAAGCGGTTTGCTCTCTCGCAGGATCGAAGAACTCGCACGGAGGGCATTTTCGTCTTTCAATGTGAGATCACAGAACACTATCGTGTTGCAGATTTCCTGCCTCCTTTTCTTTTTGGTTCGTAGTTCTTTTGTTTGCGCTTTATCGGCGGAAAATTTGAGCAGTGCTCAATTCATTATGCAATCAGACCTCGACAAACGAAGGACAACATCCCGGCGTGAGTGGGCGGGAGGCTACCATCTCACTCGTTAATTTTCGACTAGTTAATTTCAGGTTCATTAAAAGTCCCAAACATTATTACTGGTAGCAGAGTGATTGCTTTAGAAAATTTTATCATTTCATGGATAATAACATTAAAAACAATTTCTTGTGATTAGGAAACAAAACTCACGCACAGGACTTCTCTGTTCCAATTTCTTCAACATACGCGCAGCAGATTTCCTCGATTTCCCAGACTTCGCGTCTCGACCTCAACAATCGTTTGTTTTTCATTAAGCTTTAAAAGAAAATAATTACACATACTGTTTTCTTATGAAACCGCCGCGATGACTATAATCGTTTGTTCATTGCGACATCATCAGTTGTGTACTTGGTTTACAAATGTTTTTTGTAATAATAAAGTTAAGTATAAACGACGTGCGGTTACTATTTGACCGTCATGAAGTATTGTTGAGTAGCAGAGCCGGGATCGAATAATCAATCATTTGGTGAAAGTAAGTGTTTTACTCAATAGATTAGTGATGGAAACAAACCCTATGCTATTTCTTTGCACGGAGGAAAAATGTGATCAAACTGTACTGTCCCTATAGTGTAGTAATAAACTCTACCTTCCTTAAAAGGGACTTAACGTGAATCATCGTGACGGGGTTGGGTCACAAACGGCAAAGTTATCGAAAGGGGTTGGTACAGTGCGTTTTCACTGAGGGTGAACAGGCTGTGATAGATAAGCAACACGGGAACAGTAAAAGAAGAAGCCGACCGTATAAACAGAAGAATAAAAAGTCGATCCCTCTACGGTCCGTATGGTGATTCATTCAAGGATTGCAGTGGAGTAGACAATGTCATCTCGAGCATGTCGAGAGCTGCTAAGGAACTGTAAGTTCCAAAGGGCAGTTGACAGCGAGATCCCAGAGTTCAGCGCTTTCGATTAAACCTGTAAATAACAAATTGTAACAGTTTTTTATAAGGTTTTGAAAGAATTTTTCGCAGAGGCAGGTCACATCTTAAATTTCCAAACTCGTTGGTGAAGTCGCCTACGCATACGCTGGCAAGAGGATCTTTGGTTTGTGGTATTTGAGATCGAATACCACCATGACAGCGGCGATAATGACGATGATGATCAAGCACTCGAGCAACTGCCAGTTACATAGACATGAAGTGACTGAGAGGATTTCTCTTCGTCCAAGTTCAATTCATTATGATCCAAGGTTCTTTCTTCAACTTTCTATATATTTTCTTTGCCAATACTTTGATAATTTTATGTCCAAAAGTTCAACTACCCTTGTTCAGGGTCAGTGCAAGCGTTTTCCCTATGCGATTCGCAAAGTTGACTTTGGGTGGAGAGCTGCGTGTTCAACTGAGCCTCGGCCAGGTCAGTTCTTTGGCAAGACACTTCACCTTTACACTGCCTCTCTCTACCCTGGAGAATATGAACACCAGCAGGACAGGATCCTCTTCTAGGAAATCTGAGAGAACGGATGCCTGGGGAAGACTGAGAACCTTGTCCTACTCCAGTGGTGCAGGGCGTCGTCAGGAGGGTCCTAAGGTGTTTGCAGACCCCTCCCCCTTCAATTAACATACAAATCTTGCAATTAAGGTTTGCGGCAAAGCGCAAAACGAAGAATCTTCATAGTTGTTATCGCGAAACTTATAGTCATACCGTTTCCTTTGTGTATTGCGTTACGTGTTAATTACCTGTGAGTGTTTGTACGTTTTGTCAGGTGTAGTGTGAACTTGTGGTTGATGTTTGTACTGTGGCGTCATGTTACGAAGTCAGGTCGAGTAATTTGTCAAGTTTTGTGAATAAATTTTGTCCTGTGAATCTATGTTTATGTCCATTTTTTAACCAGCAGCGTCACTGTCTTTTGCCTGTAAAGTTATCGACCGTTGAGTACCGTAGGCGTGTGGATGTTTTAAATGAATGATGAATAAAATTACGCGTGACTTCGGCTACAATAGCAAAAACCATTATTTGTGCTTGATACTGCACTTGCCGTCCTTCTTGCCTCCTGAATACACAAGGCACACGAGATGGAGAAGTGGTCAAATCCGCTTCACGTAAGAAGCGCACAAATACGTAATTGCGGCCCATTTTTAATCAACTTACTTATAAGAACGGCCCCCCTGAGGAGTAGCCAGACTCTTGATCACTCTAAGCTACAGAGATCGAGAAACACCCAAGCACGAAGAACCCCTGGCCTCGTGCAGGAGGGTGGATTGTCATGAGAGGAAACAAAGCACTACCCAAAACAATGACAACGAATTAAAAAGATTCACAAAAATACAACAATCCCAGACTCCAAAATAATTTGATTTATTATCTTTTGTAGTTACTAAGTGTGTCGTGATTGGCTAATGCAGCAAATATGTAAATTGCAAATAATCAACAAAAATAAAAGGTAAAATGGTCTTGAGTTAACCTTTGACCCCTGGCAGTGACTAGCATCTACACTGAAATTCCTCCTGACACCACCACCCCTGAATCAAACATTAAGGTTACTACAATGAAAGAAGCGTTCTCCAACTAAAGAGGCTCTTTCTTGTTAAACAACTTCTCGTTGTCAGCACTTTGGAAAATGTATAGAGAAGACTATGGAGAATATGCATACTGATGTTAGGGTGTAGAGGGTGAAATCAGTGGTAAGTTCTTCATTAACCCCACTAATTATATATGCGGCAGAGCTCAGATAGAACTCAGACAAAAGATAAGTTTTCGTCAATCAATGAATAAATGACTCAAGTCGATCATAACTCAAAGCATTGCAGGTGGGTACGTCTTGTACTCTCTTATTTGCGATGGCGAACTTATCTGTGTATGTTATCTGTGTATGTTAACCCGTTTAACAATTGGACTCTTATGACTGATCATCAACATGCCACGGAATTCCCTAATGTCAATTACATAGGAATTTAGTGAAATGAGGAACAGAGGGAAATTGCCTTTAAAAAAGCGAAAAATTGTCGCGGCTAACCAGAGGAACGATGTGAAGTTGTCAATTAGAAGAATTTGCCATAAGATTTTAGAGGTGGAAGCACTGAACTTCAATTCTGCAACTGATACCAGGGTAGCTTAGCTGACCTTTTCACTTTAGTCAATCAAATTCTAACAATCAGCTGACCTGACTGAAAACTACGGTTGAAATTTGCAGTTTAGATTATTTGCACGAATTATACATTTTCACTTTTAAAATCCCTCTGAAAAATAACCACAAGTAACTAGAATGTAGTTTTCTTGATTAAATGGCTCGCTATGCTTTACTCAAATTATTTATTATTTTAGACTTTTATACTAACCCTTTTTTTTTTTCTCTAGGTCAAAAGTATGTTAGTTCAGTTTAAGTATCGCAGCACCGCTTCCCGGCTGAGTGGCAAACAGACTCTCAGAAACCCTTTTAAGCCTTTCTGGGTCAGCGGCATAGTATCCGTCATGCACTTGTTTAATGAAGTCGTCGAGGACATCACTCGGCACCAGGGACACTGTACAACCGCCCCATCCTGCTCCTGTGAGCCTGGAGCCAACGGCTCCAGCTTTTCTAAAAAAAAAATACAGAAAAATCGAACACCAATTTATCAAAATATGATAAATTTGTTGATGAGAAATTCCGGAGAAACAGAGTCAATACCTGCACTGTTGTACCAACTGGTCAAGTTCCTCACAGCTGCATTCATACATCTTACTGCAACTTTCATGGCTCTCATTCATAAGACCACCCAGGACCTGCTCACGAGACACAAAAGTTGGCTGTCACATGAAAGTCGAAGACTAGACTGACCCTATAGTAGATCAACTAACCAATCACATGACAAGCCAATAACTCAAATATTCAAAATTCTGGAAAACTAGACACCAGTGCCAAGACAAATGGACAACTGGTGTCAAGGGCGGGAAAACATACAGCCGGCTCCAAAGGCGGGAAACCATGCAACCGGTACGAAGAGCAAAAAGAGATACAACCAGTGTCGGAGGCAAGAAAGCAGGTAACCTTTGCCAGGGTGAAAAAGCATGCCACAAATGCCCAGCACAGAGAATTGCAACCTACGTTAAAAAAGACAAGCAACGGACACCAAACAGTTATTACCTGGACGGCATTAGCAGGTTTTTCCTCGCACACTGACTTAAACTTGAGCACTCTGGAAGCTTCAGAGTACACGTGTTTGGCTCGATCGTGCAACTTGAAGCTGGTGACTCCTGCTGTTGAAGGACTCATGCATTGGCTCACTAACTCCTTGTCCTGTGAGCACACAAACAAACAGACAGACAGAAACCTTCAGCATGATTTCAGTATGACCCCATACTTTAATATGCATACAGTTGTTGGATAGACTGAAAAACAATAGCGAAAGCGAAAGACTGCTTTTGGGACTACGGGATAATTTGGTTTTATCAACTGAATTGATAATGTAAATTGGCCACCGAAAAAAACTTTCTAAAGGTGACGTTTTGAACTAGCCCTTCACCATTCGCTCTGACGAGGAACTACGGCCCGAAACATCGGCTTTAGGAACTCTTTAGAAACTCTCTAAGGCGGCCAAATAACATTATCAACTCAGCTGATGAAACCAAATTATCTAGTAATACTTGCCCCCTTATTTCATCTGGGTATTCAGGTATATTTTAGAGGAATTAGGAGTAATGTAGAGATCTCTCCATACCTTTACGAGGAGACAACGATTGGCTAAGGTAAGGAGAGAGAGCCAATTTTCGTGTTTAACATGATTCCTACTTTTTTGAACGCGGCTTACTAGATACATGTAATTGGAATATTTGAGGAAATAAAGCAAGAAGTGTTCCTAAGTTGTTATCACCGCAAGCAACTCTTGGACTATTTTGATATCCTACTCGAGGTCCGTCCAACTTTTATACAATCAACATACCGTAAGTGCAAAGTATTCACATAGCTCTTTCTTCGTGTACGGCTCGACATGCAGGCATGAGTCCACCATTGCAACCCTGTTTCAAAATACAGCGGAAAAAAACAGATACCTCTTAAACGTTGCGTTCTTACTTTCGGTCGATCAATGACTTGGAAAAATAATTCCAAGAAAAACTCACAATTGTTATGTTCGGGTCTACTGAC